CGAAAACCCAAGGAGGGGTCGCTATGAGTCGGGGCCGACTCGACGGCACATAACAACAACAACAACAAGAGGCAGAAAGGGAATCTCACTGCCATCAAGAGAAGAGCTGGAGGTGAATGGAGTATGTCCTTCGACCCAAGATCCCTGTGCTGGGCCTCCTTGGCTGAGAGATGCCCAACCAGAGAGAGACAGTAGCAGTGGAACCAAGAGGCAGGAGACAGAGCAGAGGGCTTGCTGGCCCACAGAGCAAGAAAACTGAGTGCCCTTGGGCAGGAGGCTTGTTGGTAGAGTGGACTGCACCTAGGTGTATCTATCAGCAGAGCTGAAAGAGTTTTGTAACACTTGCCTGAGCAGGGCAGAGGCCAAGGGCCAGAGAGGCAAGCCAGAGGGCATAGCAGAGAGGAGACTGCTGACTGAAGTATTGTATCCTGAGTACATTCCTGAACCTGAATTGTAGCCTGTTACTTCCCTAATAAACCCCATAACTACGAGTATTGTCTGTGAGTTCTGTGTGGCCATTACAACAAATTGTCGAACCCAGTTGAGAAGCAGTGAGCTCCATGGGAGGGAAGGCTGGTGTCAGAGTTGGTAAAATGCTCGAGGGTGGCAGCATGTCTGGCTTCATAGGAATAAGCCTTGGGCTGCTGATGGTGATTCTGTCTTCCTTTAGTGAAGTTAGAGGCGGCCAGAAGATGCTGCCTCCATGTCGTTTTTGCATCATCTCACTTTACAGATGAGGAAACTGAGGCATAGAGAGGTTCAGCGATTTGTTCACAGGCGGGCCAGGATCAGAGCTGAGGCTGTCTGCATCCAGAGCCCAGGCCCATAACCATTTCACGATAATGCCTTCCCACATGATCTGTGCCTAAAATGTGTTGATCTCTTTGCCTTTAGTTGGGGAATTTTAAAAGAATGCTAGAAATAGCAGACATTTTATAGTCATCTGTTCTACAACCAGCCTAAACCAGGGCTTCTCTCCCACAGTATCTTCAGGAGTAGGGAGACCATACCTCCTGGTCCTGGCTTCCTACCTGGTTAACTGAACAGGGTCTTGCAATGATGTGTGCCAGTCCATCCTTGTGAATTCACTTAAACTGGCTCTTTTTACATGTAGTGAGTATTTGACATGGTCTTATTCTCTCCCACAGGCACAGCTCCAAGAGCGGAATGACCCGCAGCAACTGCTGTTAGACTGCAAGCACATGTTTCCTGTTTTGTTTCCTTTTAACCCATCTTCTCTGACCATGGACTCAATCCACATCCCAGCCTGTCTTCATCTGGACTTCCTCAATGAAGTCTGAAGATGCACATTTCAGCTTGGCCCAGTCACCAGTGAGACCAAGAAGAAAGCAGACAGGAAAGTGCTGTCCAGGGTCGGTTTCAATCTGGTGAAAATGGATCAATGAAAAGATGGGGGGGCCTGTACGGAGTGCAGAACTATACAGAAGAAGACACAGCTATGTCATTATTTTTTGTACCTCCTCAGAATAAAACACTTGAAACATTGGAGATTTTTTTTTTTTTTCAGTTTGATTTTAACCTAAACACATATACATCCTGACTCTCAGCCACCAAACAGTTCCCATGTCATCAGAAGAGTTCCAGTTCTATAAAATGGAAGCTGCATATAACTGGAGAATCTCCAAGTTAACATGATTTTAAAAATCTGTAAGTTATGTAAATTGCCTTAAAAGGGCTAAAATAATGGTACTAACAGCTATGACAATGACATACACTGTTTCCCCAGGTAGACAACACAGGTGCGGCTGCGTTTTTGGTGAGATGTTGTGGAACGGAAATACAGGCATGGGCTTTCTGAGAAGCTTTCCAAGGGTATTTTTGAATGCTTAGAGATTTAAGGCATTTGACTGCTAACCAGCAGGTTGGCTATTCAAACCCACCAGCTGCTTCATGGCAGGAAGATAGGGGTAATCTACTTCCATAAAGATTTACCACCTTGGAAAACCCAGTGGGCGTCTTTGTGGGTTGGAATGGACTAGAATGGCAGTGGGTCTGGTTTGGGTTTTTTGGTAATGACCTCCAGACCAAACATTTTGGGTACTGGTTTCAGAAGCAAAATGCCAAGACTCAAGACCTAATGTGCTCAAACCTCTTTATGTAGTCTTTTTTTTTTTTAAACTTTTTATTGTGATTTGGGTGAAAGTTTACAGAGCTAATGTCGTTTTCCATCCAATAGTTCATTCACGTTTTGTTTCATGACATTGATTGCAGTCCCCACAATGTAACAGCACTCTTCCCACTTCTTCCCTGTATTTCCCATTTCCATTTGTCCTTCTGTCCTATGCCTTCCTCATTCTGAACTTTATCCTGGGCAGATGCAGCCCTTTTGATCTCGTATGGTTGGTGGTTCTAAGGAGTGCATACCTCCCTGGTGTTATTGTTCACCCTGTAGGCCTATCTTGTGTTTAGCTGAAAGTTAAGCCACTGGGTGAGTTCAGTTTCAGGCCTGGAGGGTCATAAGGGACACACTCTTGAAGGCTCCATTAGTCTCTTTGTGTAGTCTTCAGACATGCAAAAATGCTACTGTCCCAAACTTCAATTGTGAGCAAAATGGAAGGATGTTCTTTGTTTCTGATGCTAGTTCATGTGCTTACCAAGTCCAACAAAACTTTTACAATAATTTATGTAAACTAAATGTTAAAGTTTTGTTTACAAATATAAAAACCAAACAAGTCAGTGTGAAAGCCTTTACTCCCTTCATGCCTCTTGGCCGCCAATCTGGCTGCCACATAACGGAGTTGTAATCCCAGACAGCCAAGAGGGTAAAGGAAAACAAGCCACTACTTTTCAGATGTTTGAAAATCCTTTAAAAATAATCAGTTCAGTGATATTAAGTTATCCAAAGGTTTTAAAAAAGAGACTAAAATAGCTTCTGTCACCTTTCCCTCTTGAGATTATTTTCAACATCTTTCAAATGCTGATATCATTCTAAATGTCTCTGCTGTGAAATAAGGATTTCTTTTTAAAAAGGTATTCACTAGTAATATAACAGGCTTAGACATTTGCTATTTGAGTTTATCTTGTGGACTCTTCACAAACGGAAACATTTAATTAGAAAACCCTACATATTCTTTATGCCCGCTTTTTGTTTTTCCCTATTTCTGTAGATAATGTAGTATGCTGTCACAAATCACAGAAAAGCTGCCTCTCTCTCACATCAGGAAAATAAAATTCCTTCATGAATTGCAAGAACACTCCCTCCTCAACAGTTCACGGTTACCACCTTAAAAGCTGAACAGTCTTACTACTGTGCCCTTCTGTATCAGCACTCTCGTTTTCTTCATTCTCCTTATGCATTGGGGCCACTGCAAGGTGAGCGCTTGAGTTAAGCGTGCTGGTGATCATCTACGTCCATTCCCTCTCCCTCCACATGCAACCGCCTGGCTTCTCCCAGGCATCTGCGCAGAGCGGCATCTTGTCCTTCTCAATTATAGTGTCATAATCACCCCACACGCTGATTTTGTTTGGAAGGCCAGTCTCCAACAATTGGGTCTGTGGCTACCTCTTCTCTTTAAAGTTGTTTGTTAAGATATAATTCGCTTTTTGACACACTGTAGTTTGAAACTGAGTCTCTCTTGTGTACAGACTGTCCTTAATCTTCAAGATAGCCAAAAACACTCATTAGAGTGTTCAGAAGTTTGACAGGCAGTGACTCAACAAATAGAGCGACCTACTGTCCTTGCCTGTGGTCTTACACCATCATGCTCTGGATCTCTTTGGGCCACTACCTCTCTGGTATCGCTGACTCATCACTAGAGGTGCCAAGAACTCAAAGAATGAGAGCTTGGCAAGTAGAGTAAGTGGGGGAGGGAGGCGGTGTGAAGGAACTTTGTGACTAGTCCTCTTCTTAGCCTAAGGAATGGCAAATTTAGTTCTCCTCTTCCAGAAGATAACGGTATTTTATTGGAGCTGTACTTAACTTATAGATATAATTTAAAAAACCAGTAGGCTTTTATAGACCATGAATAATAAAGAAAGTAACTGGTTACTTAACATTTAGATCTGTCCTATTTAACTTAAAACTTGGAAGCTGGAGGAAGCATCTTTAGAGAAACTTTAATAACCTTCACGTTTTTATTCTCTGCATTTTTTTTTTAGTTCAACTCAAACAGTTTCCAACTTCACAAAATCAGTAATGATTTTTAATTTAAATAACTTGCTTCAATCTAAAGGTTTGAACTCTGACCTTTGTTTTTCTTTTTAATATTTAAAATTTAGTTGACACTTTCCCCACTATGTGCCTTCAGCTCTTATAAGGTAACTGACATATCAATTATTTCCCTAAAGTGTTGCTGTGGGAAGAATTTTAATGTCCAACATAACATGATGGTGGTTTTGATTTATCTTTTGAAACATTAAAAGCATTTTGAAGATTACTTAAGAATTAAATATTTGTACATCAAACAATTTGTGTTTTCAGTATTATCTGGGACCTCTGTATTTACAATACGTGTTAGGTGCAATACGTGTTAGGTGCACACCAGTTAGTAATTGTTGCTGAAGCTGACAAGCATATTACCTACATGCATTCTCACTGTGCCATCATAGTCGCAGTTAGGATACACCCGCGTAAGCTCACCCGGGAGGCAGATCAGACCCAAAAGTAGAGACTTCTTTCCCCCTTTCCACGGAGCATGTCGATAGGCATTCCTGCCCTTCACTTTCCTAGTAATACATTTTAAGGTGTTTGTGAAAGCGATACTAAGAGCTTGGAAGATTTAGAAAAAATTAATGCTGCTACTGTCAATTTGTCAAATATTTACTTAGGGCCTTAATGCCTTATGACTATAGTAACAGTAAATTAGAAGCCATTTCTTTTGCATATAGTAACCTGTTTTTGTACACTTGAACTAACTCTGTGGCAGCAAAGGTAACCTAAATTGAAGCCCTTGTCAAATGCCTACATGACTTGATGGTCATTAAACTGTGACGGCATGGGGCAGGACCCTGTAGGTTTAATTCATAAATGGTTTCTCTGCAGTCAGTTTCTCAAATTAATTTGTTGCATGAGGCAAATATCCCTAAGTTCACTTTTTGTACACATTGGTGCCATAAGTAGAGAACTAGGGAGGTATGGAAAAAGAGATTAATGCCAGTGAAAGTAAAACAGCTGTTATTTAAAATAGGTCATTATATACAAAATACTGTTTTTCCTAAAAATAAATTTCTAATAATAACAAAGGGCATTGATCAGAAATGAATTAAGCTGCTTCCTAAAGTGACATCATATCTGAGTAATTCACATTTGGATACAACATTTTGCTACCAACTGATGCTTAGATGAAGGACTGAGTCTCTGAAGGAGTTCACACATTCAGGGGTGACTAATGTGGATTAACTACTGATAAAAATATTTTTCCATTTTGAACAAATCTGTAAACTACACCTTTGTTTCTAGAAAAATGCTTGTAATAGTTACTGTAATATTCAGCTGTGGATAAAAATTTGTGGAAATATATAGTTTTCAATAAATAAAGTGGTGTGCCAAACCTAAAGGAAAGTTAAAACTCTGCAGCTGCCCTTTAGCTGAAAAGTTTATGTTCAATGCTTTCTTGAGGAATTTCAGACTTGCGTCATGGTCATTTAAACCAGGGGTCAGCAAACTGCAGCCCAGGGCCAAACCTGGCCCACCTGTTTTCATAAAACCCATAAGCAAGGAACGATTTTTACATTTAAAAATGGTTGAACATTTTTTTAAAATAGACTATTCTGACATGTAAAGATTATATGAAATTTTAATTTCAGTGTCAATAAAATGTTGCAGGAACAGAGAGGGGCCCATTCATTTGCACATTGTGGTTGCTTTTACAATGCAGCGGCAGAGCTGTATATGGCCAAGAAAGCCTCAAATGTTTACTGTCTGGGCCATCACATGTTTGCTGACCCAGCTTCTGTTCTAAATTCTGATTCTGCCACTAGCTGGCTGCTGCAGTCATTTCACCCTTCTGGGTTTCTGTCTCCATATTTGCATGATGACTTCCTCTTATTTAAGGAAGCAACCTTGGCCTAGAACTACAGTCATTTTAGCTCTCTATGAGTCGGGGCCAACTCGACAGCACATAACAACAACAACAACAACAACAACAACTCTGTAGAGGGTTAAGTCAAGGAAATATCTCATGTACAGGCAGTCCTCTACTGAACAATGGCATTCCACTCCAACAACTCTGTGGTAAGTTGGTTTCAATGTAAGTAGAATGCCTCTTTATTTTTTTTAATTTCATTATTATTGCCCGTTACTAATAGTATGTTTATAAATCCAATTTTTATCTTTGAGGAT